CATCGCTGAGTATGATGGCTAGCTTGAGAAGGCAGTGTGCTCCGCTTGTCTGCAGGCTGTAGACAATATGAAAGGGAATTGATCCTTAGAAGTCCCCTGCAGAAACAGCGAGATCCTGTCTCTTGGCTTCTGCAGGTCCCTCTTGCTGGTTCCAATGACTCACTGGCAACGATGGAGCTATTTGAACATTTATTGTACTTGAGCACAAGGAACTTACTGCATGCCACCAGCATGGCCAACGGGAGGGACCTGCCACACTGGTGAGTTTTGTGTTAAAAAAGCAAGTAAAGTGTTTAGCAGCAATCCTGGCTGGAATTGCAAATACAGGTTTAACCCCAACCAAGGGGAATCTCCTTTACTTATTGCCCTTCAGAGAATCTATACTGCAATAGGCAAAGGAGCGACCTTGATGTGCAGCTGCTGGGGCTCAGGTGGCATGAATCCAAACCAGTGCCTGGGTGGAAAAAAGCTGTGCAGCAGCAGCCAAGCAGGCAGAAAGGAAACTCATTCTTAGTTTGTTTTATTATTGTTTTTCTTCTTTCTTCTTTCTCCTCCTACCCCCCCCCCCCCCAGCCCTTTTTCCCTGACCCTTTTTCCACCTTTTTTTTTCCTTTTTTCCCCCTATTTTCCTCCCTTCCCCCCCTTCCCCCCCCTTCCCCCCTCTTTCTTCACCTCATTTTTCCCCCCTTCTTTTTGTCCTCTTGCCCCCCCCATCTTTCTTCTCCTTTTCCCCTTTTTTACCCTTTTTCCAGGTAATTACATAATATATTTCTAGGCACTGGTTTTTCATGTGTGAGATTTCTGATACAGCCATGGTAGCTGGAGGATGCCAACAAGACAACCAGCAAGAGGAGGATCAGGGCAGAACTGATGATTGTATAGCCAAAGAGAACTTATATCAATACTAAACTAAAAGAGGAATAGCCTTTGAGAGCAGCTTGGCTGCTGCCCATGCAGGGTCCTTATCAGTTCAGAGACCCCAAGTTTCCCCTCCAAGATGTATGGATGGATCTGGTCCAGGCACCAGGTAGCAGAAGCTTGCCTTTGTCCCTAAGTGAGAACAGCTCCCGTCTGCCATCAAACTTATAAAAGCCTCCAACAGTTCTCATCTGCCTGACACAAGCTACCCGTGCTGATGATTATTCATTTGTGCTGGCTGTTAGTGATAGTAATAAAATGTTGACAATGCCTTAGGGTAATGCTTTCAAAAAGGCTTTTTAATAAACTGTGAAAACTGTTGTTTCAGAGATTGGAAAATAATTAAGAAGCAATTATAGAAGCAGAGAGAAATCCTGAGCTTATAGCCAAGCTATTAAAATATGTTCTCTACAAAATTATTGCAGTTACACTGGAAAGAAAAGCTACATTTAAATAAAGTTATGGTTATAACAAACTGAACAATAAGAGGGAAAATAAAGTAAGTTATGTGGAAAGAGTAATATAGGAAAAGAGTAAGTACTCATTTACACCCTCCAAAGCAGACAGATCATCTACAGTCGCTTTTCTTTCCTTAATTTTCTTACGCAAAAAATGTAGTTTCATATTTTGGAGCTCTTTTTCAATTTTTAACCAAATATTTGCTTGTATGCAAACGCAGGCAGCTGCTGATCCATGTCAAAGAGAGGCCAGTTTACTCCTTACTGAGAGCTAAAACCTAAGAGGTACCACATCAGTTGTGATGCAGAGGGTATATAAGGATGATCTGATCTATTTGCAATGCTCCCTTTGCAGGGCCCCAGCTGAAGCCTCAGGAAGGGCATGGCATCCCAGGAAGGGATGCAGGTTGGAGAAAGGAGCATTTGCAACAGCAAAAGTTGGTGAAGCTCTTGGGAGTGCAGAGGTGACACCTTCTCAGACTCCTTCAGGTGACGCCTTCTCAGACTCAATTGAACAGCTTCAAACTCGGAGCATCCCTCCTGCTTTCTTTCACCAACATAGAGATAAATGTACATCTAAAGCCCTTGATGTCACATTCTGTCCTTCTTTTTTGTAGGTTTTATGCTGTGTTAACAGTCACATGGGCATAAAGCCGCTCTGAACAGCACATGCAATGGAGCCAGCAAATGGTTCTGGGAAGTTAAATCATGGATATAGTCGTGGGATAACTTCGCCTTCCAGGTAAGGCAAAATTAGACCCATTGCTCCTAGATCTGAGCACAGCATTGCAAAATCGATAACATGCTCCTGCAATAAAAGGCATGGCCATTCCTTATGCCAATAGGGGAGGGTGTTTCTGGTTATAAATTCTCTATGCAAAGCACCCATTATCTCAGCTGAAAGGTAAAAATCAATCATACAAACCACTCATAAACCACAGTCCCTGTGACTGCTTCTCAGAACAGCCTGAATTGTCGTGCTGTGGCTCTCATGGGCTGCATGGTAATAAATAAAAGCTATGATTAATAAAGCCTAAAAAGCAGAAATGAGCGCAAACATCCCCAAAACAGTCACCCATTTTTCAAAAAAATCATCTTTTAGGAAATGAGATTATTTTTTGTGATGAAAATTCCCAATTCCAAAAAGTGGTCAGGCTTGAGAAGGGGCTCACTGCTTCCCAAACTTTCCCTGGAAAGAAAAACTCCTGCCAGTCATGACTGGTGATCGGTGCTGGTGCTGTGTTGTATTTGTCACTTAGAGGGACGTGATGTGCATGGCTTGGCCATAGGTGGGAGTCCATTGTCCCCCAGGAGTTGGTCCTTTGATGCTGGCCATACAAGGCATCTATTCAGCACTGCTTTGTGGGAAACCACATTCTTTATGGGCCGAATTTGGCAATTTAGACGCAATGGGTTATGCTTAGAGGCACTAACGCAGGTGCTTTCCAACCTGGTTGATTCTATGATTCTATGATTTAGATCTCAGGCTAATAAAAAGGTATAGATAACTCTTCCCAGGAGTGAAAAATAAAGGTGAAGTGGAGGTGCTGTTTAATCATTGAAACGTGTTGAGTGGGTATTTTGGTTGTCTTCCTAAAGGTAATTATTTTAAACCTGAATAGGGATGGAAATTAATTTCCCTGAATAGGGAAAAAATTAATCTGATTAGAGACTGTCATTATGTTTCTCGGTATTATGACTTTGAGAACTCATCCATCTGCATTGAGAGAACAGAACAGGTGTCTCATTAGTGTTTTTTTCTAATGAAAAAATAAAGAGGTTTGAATTCAATGGCATACATAGCAGTCAGGCGTGATGTTCCCCCTCCAAGGTAGCCATACCAGTAATCGTAGGGATCTTCATGCAACAGAATAAAATTGTTCTGCTGTTAAAACTCATATGGGAGTAGCGAAATTGCAGCCAATTACCCCTGCAATCACTGGGCTAGGGCTGAGGCTGCTTTTCCTGTCGTATGGATCTGCCACTTACATTATATCCAGCCTACTTAGGCTGCAAACCCTTCCATATTGATTTCTGCTGGCAGAGGTGATGCTCTGGTTGCGTCTCCATGGGGTCCAGTACTACACCTTTATAACCCCACGGCCATCAGCTGCTTTGGACTCATGCTATTTCACTTACACTTAAGCTTGTTTGATGTTTCCAATTAAGGCACCATTTTTTCTGTTGTAACTTTGCTCTTTTTAACTATTTAACCATTAACTGTGTTCTTTCTGTACTTGCTACAGAATGGCAGAATCACCCAGGCTGGAAAAGCCCTCCAAGCTCCTCCAGTCCAACCCTTACCCCAGCACTGCCCAGGCCACCCCCAACCCATGGCACTGAGGCCTCGTCTCCACGCTGTGTGAACACTTGCAGGGACGGTGCCTGCAGCCCTGCCCTGGGCAGCCTGTTCCAATGCCTGAGCACCCTCTGGGGCAGGAATTGTTCCTCAGCTCCATCTAAACCTGCCCTGGGGCAGCTTGAGGCCGTTTCCTCTTGTCCCATCCCTTGTTCCTTGGGAGCAGAGCCCAGCCCCTCCTGGCTCCATCTTCCATATGTGCAGAACAGAAAATCTGCAGCTGATTCCCTATGGATCACCCTAGTCCAGATGAGCAATGTCGGAGGCAATCATCTCTCTAAGATGCTTTAGTTATCTCAGTAAAAGTAAAAATATTCGCAATGTTTTCCTGCTTGTTTGATCACTTCCTTCCCCATGGACGGAAGTGCCAGCGTGCCTGTGCTCACCCCCAGGTAATGCACCAGTAAGTACTGCCTGCTCTTGGGGCACTGGTCTTAAATGCCACAGAGATGATGGGTAATTAAAATTCCTGAAGTTAAATGCAAAAGTAGCAGGTCAGAGGAAGCAGAGGCTCTTTGGAGCTCAGCCTGAATGGCACCTGCACCACAGAACCACAGAACCCCAGCCTGGTTTGTGTTGGAAGAGACTTTAAAGCTCCTCCAGCTCCAACCCCTGCCACGGGCAGGGACCCCTTCCACTAGAGCAGCTTGCTCCAAGCCCTTGTGTCCAACCTGGCCTTGAGCACTGCCAGGGATGGGGCAGCCACAGCTTCTCTGGATACTACAGAAGCATTTGTAATGTAGTCGGAGAATGAGAGCAAAACTGGACTAAATCCAGGGATAAACTAGGACAAGAGATGGGGGAATTGGTACCAGAGGAGGGAATTGTGGCAAAGTAAATGTTGTCAGCTTGAATTTTACTCTGGCCCATGACAGGCCTTGCACTGCCCCAGTGAAGACAGCAGCAAACAGCAAACCATACCAGAGGTACCCATGTTATTTCCCATTGTGCCCATCCTCCTGTGGCTGCCCTGGGTGTGCTGCTGCCTGCAGAAACCACGCCACAGAAACTAGTGTCTGAAGGTCCATTAAAGTCTTCCATCTTTTCTAACGCAGTACCAATATGCTACTTGCCATATCTACTATTAAATTATATGCAGGCAATGAGTTATTTGTTAAAAGCACTTTGTGCTGACTCGGCAGTCCCGTTATCTTTTAGGCATTAAATTTCAAGTCAGTGCAGAGACTTTTTTGTTTCCCCTGGTGACTAAATTGCAAATGCTAATTCCTGTGCAGGAGAAGGGGAGATTAAGGCAGCACAACAGACAGGCATGCCAAAATATTTATTGAGTAAGTTGCAAAAGAGAAACAAACCGCCTGTGTTTCCAACAGAACACAGAGCAGGACAACAGCACTGAATTCAAGATTAACTCCTTTGTTCACCCACAATCCAATTTAGTGCAAGTGTATTATAGGAATAAGTTCTGAAAATTGCATTTTCTGTAGTTTCTGGGTTCACTTGTGCATATAGAATCATAGACTGGGTTGGGTTGGAAAGGACCTTAAGGTCATCTAGTTCCAGCCCTCTGCCATAGGCAGGGACTCCTCACACTAGACCACGTAAGAAACCATATGTTCCTTGCTAAATCACAGTAATGACCCTAATTCCACATGAAAGACCTAAACCAAATTGCATCCCTGAGCTGATGGCCCATCTACTCCACTGCTGCTCTACAAGATTATCATTCATTTCCTTCCCAGTTTTCATCCAGGCTCTTGTAAAATGAGCAGGGAAAACAACCAACTCGAAGCCATTATAACAGTATTTCAGCTAGAGCACCTGCATTAATATCTATTTCAGTGCTGAAGTTAGAGAAACGTGTATTTCCATTTCAACACCCAGAGATCCTGTGAGACGTCTTGTTTTTCTTAACTAGTGAATGCAAGTACCCAGTTGAGGTACATGGATACAACCGGAACAGGTTAAGGATATCCCATCAGTTTGTTGCAGATTTGATGTAAGCTGTCACAAAGGCAGAGACAATAATTTCAGACGAGGGTTTAATAAACCAATGTTGTTAAGAAAGCAGCAAGCTTCTAAGTGACTTTAAATGTCTGCGTGCAAATAGATGTTTCTAATGTGCCTGCAGAGAACGAAAATTGCTGTTAAAGAGGTATTAAAGAGGTATGTTGAAGATGAACTCTCAGTGCTGGGTGTCAATGAACCACCATGGCATGGGGAGCTGCTTCCCACCATCCGCTTATAAAAATGGAAAACCTCATTCTGCTTCTGCAAAGTCACTTCTATAGGACCAGATTCATTTCTGCAGGCATTGAAGACTTCACTGCTTAAAACAAACAGCTGTTCTGTATATGTATTAAATAACAAATATATACCTTAGCATTTCCATGTCATCCTTGTGTCATAGCAAATAAAGAACATCAGGAGGGATTTCCTTCAGTGACACTGCCACATAAAGGCTTGATAGGTAACATTCAGCAGGTTAATATACACCAATGTCTTTGGCTTTATATGCTTGTACAAGCACTGTTAGAGGTCTAGATATTATTTTATAACGTTAGGGTTTAGATGATATCCTAGCAATTCAAGCTACTGCAAGGCAATTTGATGAAAACTGAAATAATATGAAATACTATTTACTAAAATGAAATGTTTAACTTGATTGTTGCAGCAGATATTGAAACTGGGAGCAGCAAGTATTGCAAAGCCCCTTATCTACCCCTTGATATCAAGTAACAGAAATGGGGCTGTTCTCACTTTTACTGTAAAATACAGAGCTAAGTTATATTGGATAATAAATAAACTGTAGCAAATAATGATCAGTTTGCAGACAGCTCCCCAAAATATCTGAATAAATCACTGTGGATGATTTCAACCTTGTAACTGATATGATGAAGGTTATAACATCAAAGTCATAAACAAATGAAGCTTTAGTACGCATTGACATCCTGTAGTCAGAAGTCGACAAGTTAATGATACTCCAATGGCTCCTTTCAGCCTTTGGCTGGATTTTGTCCCTACCCCTTGCTCTCACGAAGCTGGCAGTGCCTGTACTCTCTGTGGTTGAGGGTTTACCTTATTCCTAATGATTAAGCCCACTCCTAACAATGCACATCCTACTCTGGCACTTTGCCCCCTACCCCCTTTTATTAAGTCTTTTTGTTGTTCAAAAATTCACTTCATTAAACAAGAATTTCTTTGGGATTGGGAGCCTGAAATAGCAACATTAAATATATTTATTTCACTGTACAGTTTAGACATTCCCTTTCAAAACTGATTTTGATGACCTGACAGTGTCTTTCCTTGGCATTGCTGGTGACAAAACCACAGGCAGCCCTTAATTTTGCTTATGAGCAGGCAGCAATGACTGAAATGCTCACATTCTCTTTCCTAAAGGTCTATTCCAAGTGATGCTGGGAACCTGCTTCCATTACTTATGGTCTTTTGCTATGGGCTGAAGGTCTCCCGGCCTCCTTCATCCCATCTGTCACCCAAGCCCCTGCTGCTTTGAGCAGCAAACTGTGGCTCCTGAAGCTGCAGCTGCACAGATTCATAGAGCTAAAGCAAAACTGAGATAGGAAGAGGGGAAGAAAAGTCTTTCAGATGCTGCCTAGATTCAATGGGCATTCACAAGGGCTCAGCAGAGCTTGCTGGCTGCGTGCCTGTGCTCATCCCACATATGTATATGTAACTCGTGTTTAGACAGGTACATAGCCTCCTAGTACCTCCAAACAGAAAACAGAGTTCATGTATGATAATTTTCACCATTTCCAACAGTTTTATATTTTGGTTCTCAGGTGGAAAAGTTCTTTCTATGTCCAGCCTTAAAAGTACATGTTTCCCCATTTCGTTTTTCCCAGTGCCGAAGAGAATGGTGTTTGATAGCCACAGTGACAGGGTGCTTGACTCACCAACCATACACTACTTTTTCCCCTAAAAAGCAAAGTTGTCATGGTAACAGAGCAGCCTGGTATTTAATTCCACTTAAGTACTCAGAGAAGATAAGAGTGGAGGGGCTCTGCGAGGTCAGTGAGCCTTGTCCCTGTTGCCTCCGCTCCCTTTCATGACTTTAACATAACACCTACCAGGTAAACTGAGGTAATTCGATGTAAGTAATGGAAACCAGGAATTTCCTTCGTTACCCACCCAAGCTCGCTCCTGATGAGAGGAAAGTCATCATCTGTGGAGTCGTTCAGCTCCAGGTATGTGACTGGCATTAAGAAGAGAAGCATGACATTCTTCTGACAAGTGCTATCAACATTAATTGGCTTCATTTCTCTTTCAGTGTCTGCAGCGTTAATGAGATTTGTGATCTAATTTTTCATATCTTTGTCATATCAGTTGGGAATAATTCCTCTAACAAACATTTATGGACATAATATGCACACATTCATCGAACGCGTCCCCTGCAATCCACTGGTCTCCAGGAAGTATTTCTATTCTGACAGATGAGTTTAATAAAAACCCCTTGGAGCTGCGCTTTCTGAAACAGAAGAATTCCGTAAGAACAAAAACCTATCCCAAATCAAAGCATTCTTTCTAAAGAGAGAGTAACCATCTTCACATTTAGCTCTTATAAACCAATTTCAATGCATTGATGTGAAATGATAACACACACATTATTCCCATTTTACAGATGAGGCTACTAAAACACACAGGAACAAAGCAAATTGCCAAATTTAGCTGTCAGTTACCTTTTTGAATTCACTTACAGTTCCCTACAGAGTGTGCAGGAGACCCTCTTCTGAGCCTGATGGTCAGGCAAGCTCATCATGTCTCCATGAGGAGTCAGGAGAGAGGGGCAAAGCCCAAGTCCAAGCCTTTTCCAAGCGAGACTGAAGCCCTCACCCCTGGCTAAAACTAGCTGCTGGTCCCTGCTGTTTTGACTCAAAGATTGGATATGTATTTAAACTCATTCTGGAAGGAAAGGAAGGATACATTTGCTAATTCAGAGGCAAAACTGTGCTCATGAAGCAACACAATCCTCACAGACAAAAGGTATAAGGAATACATCACAACTTCGAGAAATACTATTGAGACAAGAGAGGCAGAAAAATAAACTTATACAGGAAAAAGCATGGAGACCTTAATATTGGCACTGAGAGACTGAAGTTTTTAACCTAGAATATAAATAACAGTTTGTCTAACTGAAGAGGTAGGGAAATCTATTCAGCATATCAGAAGTATTTTTATTCCATCAAAATCCATCAACAGTTTAGGTCTCAGAGATCAGAATAGTCTGGTTAAAATAATATGAAGAAAATAAGGAGTCTGATGACTTGACCTGGTTCTGTTCCTGTGTCATAGCACTAAGAACAGGGACGTTATGCAAGGTCTCATACTGACGTTCGATGCCATGGCAGACACCCAACCGACATCAGAGATGTGTACACATCAACCATGGGTTTCTATGTCTCTGCAGTTGGTTAAGAAGAAAATAGAAGCTGAGAAAGAAGAAAGAAAACAATTAGAGATCAAGTGTCATATAACAGCACATGCAGCTTGACATAGATACATAGAGGAATTAATATTCGGTTGTTCCAAAAAGCACAAGTTGTGATGGCCACCTTCTAGCTGAAAAGCTGTCTGAATTTTAAATCTCATTATGTGTCCCTTTTAATCTATTTCAAGCTGAGACTGGTTCTTATTGACAGAAAGATGTTTGTAATTAGCCTTAATATTTTGTGTACTAGTCTGACAGCTCTCCTGTTGTTGTCTTCTATATACGTATATACATATATACTTATGGCAAACTTATGTCAAACCTTTTAATATCCCTACTCACATGTACGACTCACCACCTCTTGGTTGCACAAAGACCACTTCTTGAAGGTAGAGATACTGTGGGAGCATTGATGCAGCTTCACCCACGTAAAACCCAGGAATGACTGGTGCTGTGCACTGATCAATGAACAGTATGTGAAATAGAAACTGGATTTAAAACATGTCAGAGCCTATTGGACAGGATGCAGTGCTCTTCAGCTGTAAAAAGTAATAGAAATCTGACCTGCCCATAATAACATGCTAAAAATAACCAATAGAATGCATTTCTTGCATCACTGCTGCCCAGGGACTGTTGATATCAGCTCTGATTAGCAGCAGTGACTGGGGCTGGCTTGGTGTGTGAGATACGAGCCTAACATACCGTAGCGTGTCCTCTCCTCCTGGCACTCTCACCCCCCTCCTCAGATCCACACCTCGTTAGGATCATTGGATCAGGGAAGGGCTGTGGGCCCCGAGATGGGGCTGGCAGCGAGAAGCCTGGTGGTCAGGAGAGCCGGAGCAGAGGTTATATCTGATCCAACATTGACAGCGAACATCAGAGCCTTCCCTCAGCACACCAAGGCTCTGAAATGTGTTTGCACAAGCCTGGCAGTTTCTTTATTCCTTACTACAGTGGTTGCAGCTCACCACTATCAGGCAGAGATTTCTACCAGAGCTGTTTCTTCTCCCTTTCCAGCCAGAGCTTTCCAGACCTGTGTCCTGTGACATTAGAGCACAGCAGCCTCCTTCTTCAGTCACTTTGCTTGTCTTTCACCAACCACCCTTAAGCAATGGTCTCCCCTGTAGGCAGTGGACTCCCCTACAGAGGGGATGGTGAAGCACCTTGACACAGACTTAACAAAGCGCTGAAGAATTTCTTCCAGGCACACTGGGAATGTGAGAGGAACTTTTGTGCTCCTCACTCCTCTGGCTCCTGGCAAATCTCAGCATCAAAGTGCACACATTGCTCCAAGGATGCTGTGGTTTGACACAAGGGAGTTACCTCCATAAACCTGCTTCTGGGAGCAAAGGAATATAGCGTGAGGGCTCGTTCTTGTTCATCCTTTCAGGGAAAACAAACCTCACAATTCATGGTCAACACCTTTTCATCCTCTACCCCTCCTGGTTTCCAGACTTACATGCGGTATTTCAGTAACATCCCTTGATCCAGCCAGCTTTAGAGGAATTAAAAGCTTCTGTAAATCTTCTGGAACTTTCTCAGGTTTTACCTATAACTACACCAGTGGAGAGCCCACACTGGATGGCACAGTCTGCTTGTAGGTGGACTATCATCTACCCTGCCCATCCACCAGGCCAGGACACACACAGGGCCATGTGTCTTCGTCCAGCTTTCCCCCATGGTTCTCGCTTGCCCAAATCCTCGAATCAACCAGGTTGGAAAAGACCTTCAAGCTCATCCAGTCCAACCATTGCCCAGCACTGCCAAGGCCACCACTAACCCATGGCACTGAGGGCCTCATCTACACAGTCTGTGACCTCTTCCAGGGATGGTGATTCCATCTCTTCCCTAGGAAGCCTTTTCCAATGCCTGACCACACTTTTGGAGAAGAATGCTGTGGTTGTGAGCCTGGTTCTGCAAAGCAACCAGTCAAGGGGCAGCTGGGGCAGAGGCAACTGTCCCATGGGAACGACTAGGGTAGAAGATGGCTCAAACCCCCTGTAGATGCTTCCTTTCCGTCTCACACCTACCAGCAGTTACCAGGTGCTCATTTCCTGCATAGTCTTGTGTGGTTCTGGCAAAGGGTTTCTTTCATCCAGTGCTGTGCAAGGAGAATGCCAATGAGCAGGAAAGTTGTGATGGCTTAAGGGTAAAAAGTCCTCATTCAACATGCAGCAGGGATTTCATTTTGAAAAAGGGGACTTCAGTGCTGAGACAGTGAAGTGTGAGCATACGGCCTGAAGGTCCCCTGGCTCTGGGTCCTTAAACATGATTTAATTCAGGAGTGGTGCCGGGAGTGCTATGAGCAGTGCTGGTTCTGCCTTGCTGTTCTACCAACCTGAGCTGCACGTCATGGACATCACCTGTAAGATGTTTTTCTTTCAGAGCCATTCACAGTAATCAAAAAGGCTTCCTGGTTCCTAAATTGCTTCTAATAAGATGATGTATTTTCCTATGTGATAGATTATGCCCCCAAAAAACATTGAATTTAAAATAATCTCTAATTTTAGGATGCTAAACTACTGTTAACCTTATAATCACTTTCTCTAGGAAATTACTTCCAGAATTTACATACACTTCTATCTCTGTACTGGTATACCCTCCATCTGAATCATGCATAATTACTTGAAAGAGGAGATTTGACCTATCTGCTTAGTCTTTATTCTCAATTACCCCTGCAATTACAGCAAATGGAGCTTAACACAACTTCTCTAACCCACACTTTGCTAAGAAGTTGGCAGTTTTCCTGCCTGCCATGGAAAGCTTCATGGGAACACGGTGCTGAGAGGCTTCAGAGAGCTAAAACACCACTTGTGGATAGCACAGCACTGCCACTTACGAGTTTGTTAGGAAGCGCTTAAAACTGTTATTGCCAAAATAATGAAGAAAGTACATTTCTGAAGTTTCCTGTTGGCTTTTAATACCCCAGCTTCTCTGCTGCACCTGAACATCCCAGCACCTCTGGCTAGCAGTGACAAAGTAGAACTGCCTTTGCAACGACAAACTGTGGTGGTGGGCTGTGTCAGAGCTGCGGAATCACTACCTGATCTCCTGTGTTTAACCTTCCAGTTACACAGCAATAGGCTTTCCAATGGCAAATGTGTCCCTCCTCAGCTTTATGCAACTGTGGATGTTTTGTAGCTTCTGTGTGCCATCTGCATGCTCTGAATTCCCTTATTCAGTGTCTCATAGCTCCTTATTTGAGGCAGCTGACTAATTGCTAAGCAAATGATAACTCTGTGTCTATTATCAAGAAAATGATGGGCATAGTTTGAAAGCTGCGGTCATATATATTCAGAACATACTTCAAGTACATATTTCAAAGAGCTGCAGAATGTATCTGTGAATTGCTCCTGCTTTACATTGCTTCAATCCCATCTTCTAATATTAGTAAAACTGTCAAGTCTTATTAGCTGCATACTAATTGAAGCTTTCAGAGGTGATTAAAATATAGAAAGTGTATAGCAGATGTCTCTTTTTATTTGGGGTGTAATAAAAGGATAGAAAAGGCAAAATTAATAACATGCATATTTTAGAGATATTTAAATATAGAGCAAATTGACATTCTCCCTTCTAGACATCTCGCCAGTGTGAAAGTATTTGGTACAGTGAGCAAGAAAGGCATATTTCAGTTTAAATGTGATATTTAGAAGACAGCTGCACAGGTAGGGCAGGACAAGGCTACCCCAGCCTCACATGCTTTGTAAAACACAACTGCAACTCTGAGGGCTGTGATAATCCTCATCTTGGACACTTTTATTCTAGATCTGAATATGGCCCATTGATTTCAAAGGGGCAGAAGCAAGTGCTGCCCCAAGAAACCACTTCTCTGAATATTACAGTGTCACTTAAATGAACGAACAACCTCTTTTCTTAAAAAGAAACAGAGATACTGAGGTTATTTAGTAACATCAGACCATCAAGCAACATCAGACCCTTGTGCCTTCCCACTTCTGGTGGAGGCAGAGGGAGGAAATCCATCCATTTAATCAGCAGCTTTCCAGAGGCACCACTGGTTCTCCATAGGAATTTCTGTAAAAATAGTCACTAGTGTCTGAAGAAACTGAGCTAAATCTCAGCGTAAGACTGTACAACTAATATATTTTATCACAGTTATTACCAGACCTACACATTATTTTCCTCTGGTTACATGGCAGGCATGATCACTGAACACTAAAGAAATAACATATTTATGTCTCTTTAGTTATTTTTCTAGTGCTACATGAGTGTTTTCTAATGGGAGATGCAAATGGTATGAAGCAGGACCATATCCCTCAGAATCCCAGCCTGGTTTGGGTTGGAAGGGACCTCAAAGCTCCTCCAGCTCCAACCCCTGCCACGGGCAGGGACCCCTTCCACTAGAGCAGCTTGCTCCAAGCCCCTGTGTCCAACCTGGCCTTGAACACTGCCAGGGATGGGGCAGCCACAGCTTCTCTGGGCACCCTGTGCCAGCGCCTCAGCACCCTCACAGTGATTCTCATAATGAATCATAGAAGGTTTGGGATCTTCTTCCCTGGAACCAAAACCTGTAAGGACATTTCTTCTTTGTAACCTCACTGCAGCTCAAATTATTGCAGATATTACCTGTCACTACCCTGAAAGAAACTTTCCATCTCCAGTGCCTTGAGCTGATTGCAAACATTCTGTTGGTAGGTGGCATCATCCTAAGGACCTTCTTCCACATGGTCTTTATGGTGTCCCTCTAACTAACATTCATTTTACATCACGTAACTCAACTGCAGGGTGTGCCATGATTGTCTTTCTTCCACAGAAAGGGTTGTGGGTAGGAGCCTAAGTGACGGGCAGGGAGAGCAGTGCTGTCAGATGTGCCAGGACGTGGAGCAGTGCCCCACCGTGAGCCAAAGCACTGCTCATCCCAGCCTTGGCACAGCTGGTGTTGCTCCATAAATCATGCAGCAACGTGACACAAGAATTGTGCCCGCTCCTCCCACAGAGGCAGAATGGCCTTAAACACATTCATTAATCTGAGGAGATAACCATTCAGTCCTTCAGACTTCTGTCCTCTCCTTTCCATACATCATAAACTCAGAACCGAGGTGGGAGCTGGCTCCAGGACCAGGACCATGCTCTGTTGCCTGAACATTTACAACCAGCCACCTAGAAAACAACCTGCCACTAGTTCGGGCTCTTAGAGTGAAATGTGTTGAAAGACCAGTGTAAAACACTTGAATGCTGCAAAGGGTTCCCCACGCTGCAGTAAAATATACAGTGAAAGGCAGGAAAATGTAGCTCTGCCTTGAATA